TTTAATATCTTTGTTCATCGACAGATCTCAGTACAGACACACAACTCTCCACACATTCACTAACAGATGATGAAGAAGAAGGTCGTGCACGTCAGACAGTGTTGTAGATTTATCTGGATGTAGTTCCTGTGTCGACCTGAGGGGGCGACATTCAGACTACAGGTAGCTAACGGGCTCCATGACCGAGACTTCTGTGATGCCTGATGACCTCCAGCTGGAGCTCATACGTTCTAAACACTGTGTCCTGATGCAGAGTTTCCTCTGCTGTGTGGGAGCAGATCTGAACCAGAGAGGCGACACCAGCCGGCTAAACGTCCTCTGATTGGCTGGCTCCATGTTTTAAATCTATGGCTCGGTGAATGCACATTGGTTCGATTGTTTTTTTATTTAGTTTACCTCGAACAGCCGTAAAAGCCCAGAGTGGGGTCTCCGGAGCGGACCAGGAGCGCCGTCGCGTCCCGATAATGGAACCGTCTTCGGGTTTCTTCACTTTCATCCTTTATTCATGCGCATCAGGTCCAGATCATCCCTCCGTCTTTACTCGCCTTCATTTATTCATACGCGTGCATTTATTTCCCTGTTTGTGTTTTTCACGCTCGTATTGACGCATGAATTATTAGCCGAGCGCCTCGGCGGCCGGGCCGGGCCGGGCCGACCCGAGTGGTTGGAGTGAAATGGAACTCTTTTATTAGAAACGGGTTTCTGTGGATGTCGTGATGAGCTCTGAGCGTCTACGTCTGGATTTAACGAATGTCCCCCAAAGAAGGAATAAAAGGCGGGTTCCTAAACGGTTCTGAGATCCGGTAATGACTCTTTTCATGCTTTCTGTACTTTGATGTGACTTTAAACTGTGAGAAACGGAGCGGGACGGACCTCCTCCTCCTCCTGCCTCCGTGGACCCGTTTTCTTGCGATTGATTCGTCAGAAGCAAAACTCAACAAGTCGTAATCTGGAACTGGCACATTTGCTCCGGCGCCGCTCCGCTAGCTGGCAGGAAGGTTTGATCCGGAGGAGGGCTGAGTTCTGATGCACGGTGCTGTGTGGCCGCCTGGCAGTGGTTCTGAACCCGGCTGCAGCGTTGGTCTGATCGTGTCTGCGCAGATAAAGAGCCGCTGAACGGAGCTGCTCCGGGCGGCTCTCTGCTCGTGTTATTGGGCCGGAACCGCCGGCTGCTGAGGCCGACGGAGGCCCGACGCGGCGATGGCGAGCGTTGGTAGCGACCCGAACGCTCAGGGAGACGAGTTTTATCACCGTTTCCGTTTCGCTGAACTCCTGCAGGACTCGTCTGTTGTACCTGAAGGTCCAAACATAAGCAGCAGTAAAGCGT